CGTTGACTGGTCCGCGGCGATAAAAAGGTTGGGGACCACTGATATAGAGTATATAGACTATATTCCAGCAATACAATGATAAGGTTCACTCATCATTCCCATACATATAATTCCTAGTATCCACCCTGGTAACAGATGCCGTCTCACCTTGCCTCATGTTTACTATGGATCCTGGACTGGTACCTGTCGTCCTTCGGCTGACTGTCTGCACTCTGTCAGTCCATGCAGTGTTTTCTGAATTGTTATCTGTTCCTCACACTGTGTTATCAGCCAGTGCAGCTTCCTCCCCCTGCTTGTATAGCGTCCATAGTATGATGGTATTGGCGGGGTGTGTGCTCATAAGTGCGTCACGGGGGGGATTCTCTATTTCATATGCTCAAAGAAAACACCGGTGACCATTGACAATTTAGGATCATTTGTCACTGTCTTCCCTCGGATAGCCACAGGCATTCTATGGCCTCATGGGAATTCTGTGATATTATACCAATGATTTATTTTTTTATTTATTACAGGTTTTTATATAGAGATTATTGTATGCGTTATTATATTGTTACTATTTGGTCACAAGTGTTAAGTTGACTATTTTATACTTTATTATATGGTTAGTGTTTGTGTAAAAGTGTTAGGTTGATTTTTTTAATGCTTTATTATATGGTTGGTGTTTGAGTACAAGTGTTAGGGTGATTATTTTATGCTTTATTATATGGTTGGTGTTTGAGTACAAGTGTTAGGGTGATTATTTTATGCTTTATTATATGGCTGGTGTTTGGGTACAAGTGTTGGGTTGATTATTTTATACTTTATTATATAGTTTAGCTTTGGTTTTAGCTATTTAACTGAGCCTTAACCTTAAATCCCAACTCCAGGCTCTTCTTGCTTGCCCCAGCCGCCCACTGGAGCACCTCTGTAACCTAAAAAAAAAATCATGACACTTTTTCCAGTTGTCTTCGGTCCACTGTCATCACAGTTCCTCTTCAATCTCTTCTTTTCCTGGCTGTGGACAGATGATAAATTCTGCAGAGAGCAGCAGCATGTACTGACTGCAGAGAGATACTCACTGCCCACACAGCCACATTATCATTTCCCAGAGATCTTTGAATGAAATTCTACATGTCCCATCTGCCACCGTGGCACAGGGACTCGTAGATCTCAAAGGAGTGACATCACCACACTTGTCAATTGACTTCATCCTCCATCTCCATTAGGGTAGGTCCCTACCCTGTACTGGGGGAACAGTCTGCAGGAGCCTGTACATTGCACTAGTAATCCAGTGATTCGGGTTACAATGCTCTGCAGCCCTGACTGCAAACAATTTATAAATGCACATTTGTGTCCTTTTATCAATCTGGGTGCATTTATTATTTATTAGGTAAACTATGATTTTAAATCATTTTACATAGATCTGTTTTCACAAAAACTATTTTTCACAAAAAAGAATTTTTCCATTGATCAGTGTTTTTGATTAAAAAAAATCCTCTCTGATTCAATGTTCTATAACAATAAAGCATGAAAGCATTCAAGGGATGAATCTTTTTTTTAAATAAAAAATGTTTTCAGCTTGGAAAGAATGTTACATGTTATTTTTTTATAACAAAAGTTACAGAAGGCGAGTAGTAGTAGTATATAGTGAGGACCAAGTAGTATTCCACTCCAGCCAATTAAAAATAACATGTTTTGGGGGGGAATATTATTATTATTATTATTATTATATTATTTATTATTAACTGGCTTAGATAGCATCTAGCAAATTCAGCCAGCTACCCAATGCAAGTTTGACTTTGCTCCCTTTCTGTTTTGCATTTCTTATATTTGAGACCATATTATGCTGTTGTTTTGTGTACTGTTACTGTAAAAAATATCTAACATTATTGAAAACTTAGTCTGAATTAAGCTGACAAACAACATTCATAGAAAGTCAGTTACTCCAGCACTGTGACTTCCACGTGGTAAAGGGAAACTCCCACTGATAATTTTTTGGACATAGAGCTAGGTCTTGCATTTGCAACGTGGTTAAGAAAGATAAGATTCAGAAGAAAACAGCTCAGTTAGTAATAGTGACCAAACAGACAACACATATGTGTTTCCCAGTGTGTCAAATGTCTCATACTGGTCACAGCGGTCCTCAGTGTAGATGGTACCTGGCAAAGTTTGGGATCTACACTACATAGCAAAACATTTGTGGACAGTTGACCGTCACACCTACTGTATATGAGCTTGTTGGAGATTGCATTTCAAAACAATGGAAGTTGCTCTGCTCTCCTCCCCTTCCTGCAGCTCTAATGGTGTCCACTCTTTTGGGAAGCTTGAGAAGGGGGGAATCTCCCCAAGTGTTCATGTGATTAGCAACCCACATGGATAGCTTCAAGAAGTACATTTATTCAGCTGGCCAGCATTGAACATGCAGCAACTCAGGCACATTCAAATAATATCGGCTCTCAGGCCTCTTTTATAGGGGTTTGAACAGTAGAACCATCTGTGTTACCTTGAAATATCTCCACAAATTAGATAATATTGACACCTGCACTCATATTTAATTACGCCAGCATCATTAGATGGGTCTTCTTGTCTTCATAAGACTCCCTCATATCAAGATGGGAGGACAGCTGTTCATTAAACCACGGTCAAAAACATGTTTATGATTTTATGTTTAAACTTTTGTTACCTCACTCCATAAGACCTAAATGTCCTCCATCTACAAAGTTAAATGTCCCACATGTTGCTTATTCATACAACTCATTATCTTTATATTATATGTATAAATTAGGGATGCACCAATACCGATACTAGTATCGATATCGGTGCCGATACCGAGTACTCGCCCAAATGCTCCAATGCCTAGCCCGATACTTCCTGTATCAGGAAGCCGGGCAGCGCGTCATTACACGCTGCCCGGTTTCCTGATTGGCCGGGAAGCGGCTACATGCTCTCTCGTAACTTGTGATGAGAGAGCATGGAGCCGACTTCCCGGCCAATCAGGAAGCCAGGCGCCGTGTAATGATGCAGTTCCCAGCATTCTGATTGGCCGGGAAGCTGGCTTCATGCTCCCTCGTCATCTCACCCCGGGGGTGACAGGCTGGATATACCAAGGTAAGAGGGGACAGACTTTTTTGTTAATCGGGAAGCTGGGTGGCAAGTCTTTACACGCCACCTGGCTTCCTGAATGGGACTTCCGTTACTTGGTAATTGGTATCGGCGAGTACTGAAAAAAAAATTATTGGTACTCGTACTCGGTACCAAAATACAGGTATCGGTGCATCCGTAGTATATATGATTTTTCCACTCTAAAATTGTGCACTATATAAATGCAGACTTACATATAAAACATTATTTATAATATGTCCATTAAGCAAAATTTTAAGCTAATTAACATAGTGAAAGCTTAACAATGTGATTCAGCAGGGATCATCAATTTTCCCTATACAGGCTTTCCAAAAGATGGTGGAGTTTGCTATTGGGAATTTGCACCCATTCAGCCAAGGAGCATTTGTGAAGTCAGATACCAATGTTGGGCGGCAAGACCTGAATTTCCAAACCCTACCAAAAGGTATTTAATAGAGTCGTTGTCAGTGCTCTGTGCAGGCCACTCAAGTTCCTCCACACTAAACTCATCAAACCATATCTTTATAGAACTGGCTGTACAGGGTCATAGTCATGATGAACCAGGAGAGAGCTTCCCCTAAACCGTTATCACAAGGTTGGATATGCACAATTATCTAAAGTGTCAGTATGCTGTAGTATTAACAGTACACTTTACTGAAAACACCTCACCATGAAAAGTTGGTTTTGGAATGGGATGGCCAAGGAGCTCAAATATGTAGGTGGGATAGCCTGCTGTCCACAACTTTTGGCTATACAGAATAGGCACACAAAAGCATAATTTGGAGTATATAATTAGTCAACGTTGTAGCTGCCAGTAGCAGGCACCAAGGGAGACATTGTGGTTTTTACCTTTTTATACATAATATATTTTAAGTAGTAGTTTTTCTCATATTTTCATGTTTTTTTATTTATTACGCTGAGGATTTAAAACAAATTACGGTCTTAATAATACGTTTTATAGTCAGGTAAATACTAAATACTGCATATGAATATTATATAGTCTTTTATCCAGCCAGCAGATGGAGCTCCTTACTCAATTTTCAGTTTTTGCCTCTGTCTCTTTACCATGTGTTATAAAAAGCCTGTTTGTTTACAGAGGTCAATAGCTCAAGCTGAAAATCTCACACACAAGTGAATCAGATGAGGCTTATTCCAAAGTATCAATGAGATGTTGTGCTAGAAAGGGAGCTTCCTTTGCTGGCTTCTCTCTTTAGCTAACCCATAGTGCTCCTGGAATTCTTCAGAGCATATTAAATATTTATTTGTAAATCACTGATTGTACATAAAATACATAGTAAAAGTATATTTAAAGCATTATAATTTCCCTTTAAAGTACACTGCCTGTCAAAAAAAAAATCATCATCACCTACATCACCTAAGCAAATAGGTCAGAGCCTTCCATTGGATAATAGTTCTAGGTTCAGCAACTTTATGTCCCCAAAAAATGAGGTCAGCTGCCTATCTGAATATACTGAATGATCAGGTTTTTTCATCAATTGATTTTTCTTTTTCCCTGAGGGCACATTGGGCATATTCCAGGATGACAATGCCTGGATTAATCGGGCTCAAAATGTGAAAGAGTTGATCAGGGAGAATGAGACATCATTTTCACATATAGATTGACCACCACAGAGGCTACTTTTGTTCCCCATGGTCCCTGTGTGTGTTGTAAAGTAGCCACCGCTCCAATCTCACTCCCGTGATGGACTACAATCTCTTGTTTAATTTACTAATTTGTATTGACATTGTAGTGGCTACTTTGCAACACACACAGGGACCATGGGGAACAAAAGTAGCCACCCTCCAGAAGGAAGGACAATGTCAGCACCAATTCAGAGATGATTTGAGCATACACAAATAAAATACATTTTTGTTAATGGTTGAGGTACTTGAATGTACTTTTAAGATTTAACTCCTGAGTTTAGTGTCACTTTAAAGTAAACCATCGGCAAGAAACATTGAGCGGAATTTATCAAAACTGGAGCAGACAGAATCTGGAGCAGTTGATAATGGCAACCAATCAGCTTCTATCTTTAACTTGCAAAGCTTAACGGTACAAAGTGAAAGGAAAAGCTGATTGGTTACTGTGCACATCTGCTCCAGATGATGTCTGCAGCAGTTTTGATTGATTTCCCCATTGCCCCTTTAAAAAAGAAAGTGAATACTTACCTTTCCTTCCAGCCATGCCACTGTATACTGCTCCACTGAAGAGGATTTGCATGGTAGACTGTCTTCTGAAATTGACACTTCCAGGAGTGTCAATTTCCTGTCCCTCGACAGTGCTCGGTTCTTCACAGTAATGAAGTAGGGGTCAACAAAAGACACCAGTAAAGAAACTTAACCTTTTGCAAGGGCACATAGGGCAGGAGAGGTAAGTATTCCACAGTGACAGGGCAGCTTTAATGCATGGATGGAAACACAAATCACCACAGCAATCTAAGTGGGTTCCCCTCGCCTCCCATTGTTTTCGAGTTATTATAAGAGAGAAAAAAATACAACTAAATAGAATTATTTTTATTTCTTTTTAGAACACCAGAAGATCATGCAACTCATCAATATATTTACAGTCTGCAGAGTTCAAGTGAAGTACTGTGTGTAGGCACAGCTCAGAATACAGGGTAACATGATCAGATATAAGGTTTTGTGGAAGGTGCTAGCTAACAAGCTAAATCAGAATCCATGCGGATGTGATATTACAGCTACTGATGGGGTGTGTGGGCTAATTTACCAGCTAATTGCAGTCTCTGTATTGTAGAATAAATTAAACATTCAACAGGGGGAGTAGGAGCTCCTCATAAAGGCCACAACTGGTATACAGGCCTAAGATGTCCAATGCAAAGATCTAGCCATCAAATATCAATTTCAGGTGGACTGACGCTTGAAGGAACATTACAGTCAAAATGTAAACTTTACCATTAAAATACATACACGAGGCACAGTCTATCTCCCCAGATCTTTTGATTTTTGTGCTTGGAATCTTTGTGTATACCAAGCCTGAGCTCTGTAAAAACCCATTAGATTGTACCAGTCTCTCTCCAGAGGTCTGATATGCCGCCTGCTGAGTTAGACCTAGAGCTCCCCAATCTGTAGGGTGCTTGAGCTTTGCTGATTGGAGAGCTCTGGCTTTGACTCAGCAGGGGGTTTGACCTTTGCAGAGAGACCACTGCTTTCACACAGAGAGCAAGGCTCCTTTTCTGCAGCATGCTGGCAGGGGAAAGGCTTTTCTACACAGGCTGTGGCTGCTGTCTAAACATAACAATCTGTAACACTTTGTTTGAATGCACCTGAAATGCATTTAGCTGATTTAAGCAGAAAATTCAGTTGGGCTTTAAAAATTTAGCTGGAAGCAGACTGAAAGGATTGTCTTATTTCCTTTGCCTACCTTTGTTGTATTATAATGGCAGTAAATCAAATCATTTAACTTCAAGTGCTTGAAATTTAGGTACATGAAACACAAGAACCAACTCGGTGTCTTATTTACTAACCCTGTTCCATATTGTGGTTCATTTGCCATTCTTGTTATATGATACATCCCCATCAGTGCATCTCAAAAGATCTAGAAGGCTTTACAAATTCCCTTTTCCCAAACTCCACCAACCACAACTGGAAAAGTCCATTTTGGTCCTGGAAATATTAACTCTATCTTTACTAAAACTGTGATATTGTAGATCGCGGGGTTATGCAGGGTTGACTACAACGGTCTTGTAGCCTTTCAGGACCTGAAACTTGTTGCTACTGAAGTTCACTTGGAGCTGTTTGAGGCCTGGCTTGCAGGGAACCACCTCAAATTCCAAAACTGATTTTTGCTTCCTCTTCATGGTGTCAACACTAGTAAAAAAATACATGAAGCATCTGTTAACATTAACATGTAAGCATACTGTATATAAATTATAAAATCACAATTACAATCAGAGCCTGAATGCATTCTGCCAGGCAATCCTGGTCTTCTAAAACAGCCTTTCTCAACCAGGGTGCTGCAGAACCCTGGGTTGCCTTCCAACTTCGACAAGGGTTCCTTGAAATTTGTTCACAGCGTCATGTCTTATCATGTGCAGGCAGGGAGTGTGGGATATATTCAGAAAAGGCTGGAAGTTTACCTCTGTTCAGGTATGAACTGCCTCCTGCCCTCTGCCGTGGTTCCTGATGTGATGGTAGGACTCTGATCTGAAAGGGCGACTGAGGACTGAGATGTGAAGGGAGCAACAACACATTTTTTTGTGTTTTTGCAAGGGGTCACCCCTTAAAATCAATTTCAGACCCCTATATTGGGTGCCTTGAGATTTTGAATAGTTCTGGGTGCAATGACTGAAAATATATATAAAAAAAAATTATTTTCTCCATCTCTGTACTGCTTAAGGGAACACATGCACTCAAATACACATGTTAATATGCATTACCACAGTGCATAGCAATCCAACTGTTCTATGTGCATTGTTTTAGGATGCCATTCATTTTGAATGTCACCTCAACATATTTTATAGTAGAGCCCAATGCACCACATATGCAAACTCCCTCATGCAAAGTCCCACAAATATCAGTGAAGTCCACCTAATGCAGTTTCCTGTGATGGGGTGGCAATAATGCTGCACTGCTCCTGAATTCAGAGCAGAGTTGCCACTCTCATGTAGGCTGTACTTTCTTGCGCTACAGTGAGATGGAAAAATGTTGTGTGGGTGTGGCTATCAGAATTGTCACTGCTAATTCACAAGCCTGTAGTTTGTCAATACGCACCTGGTCACACCCAGTCTTGCCCACTGCTTTCAGGATTGTCAGCACTGCCTCTGTTGCTGAAACCCTCCCCCTTGGAGCTGCAGTGTCCAGGAGGGGAGTGTGTGATGTACAAATGAAGGAGGATTTCGCTCACACAGGGAAGGTAGATTAAGGTTTTTTGTTTGCTTTATGAGTCTTGTGCATCACATAGTAGCTGGATGTGTTAATTGTTTAGAGTTAGACTGTTACACAGGAGCCTGCAGTTGTACTTTAACCACCTCCCGGCCGGCTGTTGTCAATAAATGGCTGGCCGGGAGCTCTCTGGATTCGAGCGGGCATTTTTAAACATCCGCTCAGCCACACCCGCTCACTCATGCCACGCGCCAGAAAGTGACAAAATTTAAAAACAGGCAGCAATGCCTGTTTACATACAAGTGATCCCGGCGGATCGCTTGTATAACGAGCCGGTATGTGCGGCCCCCTCTGCACCCCCCTCCGCTGTCCTGGGCTCCGCTGTGCCCGGTGCGAGCCCGGGACCAGCATGGTGGCTCTGTGACAGGGGATCAGAGTGAGTTCGGTACACGATCTCCCTCCGGTCCCCTCTCCGGTGTCAGAATGCGGAAGTGATGTATATTACATCACTTCTGCATTTTTGTGTCTATCTCCAGCTTCAGAAGCAGATCTCTGCTTCTTCGGCTTCTTTGGGGGGGTGCTAGGTGACATTAGGGGTCTTGGATACCCCTGATGTCTCCATAAAGAGGACCTGTCACATCCTCGTTGCTATCACATAGGGGGGTTTCTAAGTCCCATATGTGATAACAATAAAGTTAAGTGAAAAAAGAAATAGGAAAAAACAATTAAAGTTGCATAAAAAACCCCACACTTTTTTTTTAAAGTGCCCATCCATACATATACGCATGCAAACATACGTGCAAAAACGACCCCCACAGCTTTGCTTGATTTTGCTTTCTGCTTTTAAGCCTTGTATGAATAACATACCATTGAAACAAATTAAAATAATTTCTTTAAGTTACAATGGAAGATATGGTATAGGTTTTCATTGCAGGTATGCTTGCTGAACCCTTTTCCTGCTTTTGAGAAAGTACAATAGGCAACTTGTTTGCTACTGCAGAATGAAGAGTGATCACTAGAAGTCAATAGAAACTTTGAAGATCATGTTGTACCCGGGAAGACATAATGATGTCACTATGGTGCCAGTCTGTTAATGATTATTTCCTTCTGTACACTTATTTTCACAGCCACTTTTCCAAGCTAAACTTTCACACAGATAAAGGTGACCACAATATTCATAAATTGTTTGATCCATAATTGTCCTTTTCTGCTATCTGCTATGACACACATTCTAAAGTGAGTTTCTCAGTGAAGCTGATCTTTTTACAGTCACTTACATTACTTTAAGTTGAGTCTTCATCAGACCACTGCCTTCAATTACCAGTAGACAGTCTTTAATGTCTTCATCAAGGGGATTGGAGAACATCAGACGCACCTTGCATGGTTTGTTCACTACAGGAGACCCCAGGAACTGCACGTAATAAAAGAAACTGATTATAGCAGCTTATTTTACTTGTTTTCAGTATTTCTAAAGCCCTGCCATATTAACTGTTTGCCAAAACAGTTACTTTTAAGGTAGCCAACTTTCAAGGTTGCAAATGTGCTTATTTCAGCTCTCAAACAAACTTTCAAGCCCTTAAATGGCTGGTGTCAAAATTGATCACATGGTGGCTGCAATACAAATAAGGGCTAAAATGGCACCTTCCTTTGGTGTATAGGATATGAGGGTGTGGTTCCTCTTTAAGCAGTGTTTTTCATACTGTATCTATAGGACATCAGTCCGTGTCCTAAATATGCATACTACAGAGCAATTTGGTAGGATGCTGTTTTCATTTCATCTTTCATCCAAAACTATATATGTGAGTATGGATATGGTAGGTATGTTAGATTTGTTAGAATTGTTGTGTCTTCTTTGTAAAGAATTAGGTAGTAAAGATAAGCAAAATTATGGAAAATCCACAACACTGGTGATCCATTGTAAGTGGACTATAATTTGCTCCAAGGAATATACAGTTTGTCAACCAATATGAGTTAACCAGTAAAACATGGTCCAGAGGTTTAATGATCATTTCACTACTGAGTCTGCAAAGTGTCAACAGGCCACACACAAGCAAGAATGGAACGTGGACTCCCTGTTCCCTGGGATGCACTGGTCAACCAGTGGAATCCATGCACTAGGCCTATCTGTTGGAACCGATAACATTGACATCTATAATACAGCTTTGATGCAAAGGTTCCTTGATATCTTGAATGGAATCAGCAGGTGGCTGATATGCAAATGAGGGCCATCAAAGGGTTCTTGGGGCTGGACACTGATGAATGAAGATCTGCCAGGACGGTCATGTCCTGTGGCAAACCCGACCCCCTGCTGGTATTTACTGCCCACACCTGTGTCAGCAAGGCATATATGCTGGGATGGGGGCAGGGGCATATGATGGAACCTTCTTCATGTGTGACACTAACCTAGCTCACCAGCAAGACCTTTGGACAAGACAAGTCTTTCTGAACTCTGCAATCAAGAATGTGATTCGCTGAGACCTGCTGAGACCCATGGCTTGTGTGAATGAGAGAGAGAATGGTGTAGCTAGCTGTAGGATCCTTAACCTCAATTCCTATCCCCAATTCCCCTTTCAAATTCCTTTAATTGTAATTAGAATGTATGTATATCCCTATTTGTAAATAAACCCGACACTTATTTAAGATTCAGTTGTTCATCAGTAATTTAAGGCACCCCCAAATCAGAGCACATTCTACACTATCCATGTAAGATAATGGCTCTGGCTCTTTTTTGGTACATGGATTCAGAATGGCCATTATTTTCTAAAACCTGGCACAATACATATGTGACCATTTCAAAGGACACTAGCTGCCAGAGATAATATTAAAGTGACACTAAACTCAGGAGTTAAATCTAAAAAATGCATTCAAGTACCTTAACTATTAACAAAATGTAGTCAGCTTTAGATCCAGAAATCATCTCTGAATTGGTGCCTACACTGTCCATCCTTCTGAAGAGTGACTACTATTGTTTCCCATGGTCCCTGTGTGTTGTAAAGTAACCACCGCTCCAAGCTGACCCCCATGATGGACTACAATCTCACATTTAGTTTACTAGTTTGTATTGAGAATTAGTAAATTAAACATGAGCTTGTAGTCTATCATGGAGAAATAGGACTTTCAGTGCCTCTGCGTATAGATTTATCTTACATTGATCACGATTTGTGGAAGAGCCAGGTTAATATCCTTTTGTACTAGAAGTTTCTCCCAGGTCACGTTCTGCTCGCCAACAGCTGTCACTCTTATCAAGTTGTTGTCATCAAGGTACTTTCCATATTGTGAAAATGGGATTCGGAAAAAGGTCCATTTCTCTGTCAAGAGAGTTGACAAAGCCTTTAGCAGTTATTACTACATTTTTAAATACAGTAAACTGTATTTTGTTCTTACCTATACATTTAAATCTATTCCAAGCTTTATATCCCAACAATCATTTGTCTGGCTATAGACACTGATACATATATACAGTGTATATTTTTAAAATCGTTCTTTGTATGCATAGATTAAGCTGTTAGTCCATAATTTACCTGTATGTTACTACTCAACTGTATGAAGGCTAAACTTCGGCCATTATTAAAAACATGCATATATGTATTCACTAAAAAATAATAAAATCCAAACTCTGGCCATTTAAAAAAAAAAATGGGCTCCCAGCCAGTGAACAAAAAAAAAAAGCAGTGCAGGCTGCAATATCATATCCCCATGTGATGGTAATGAGGTCCTGAATATTAATTTGAACATTCCATCTTTACCTTATTTTGCTGAAACTCATCACGTCTAGTTTGAATTACATCAGATGTTTTGGAAGACCAAGGAGATACTGTGATTGCAGTGTATTGATGCCGAGCAGGGCTGTCTTTATAATGAAGCAGCCTGAGGCTGTTGTTTCAGGTGGCATCTCTTTTGGTCAACTAGGGGGGCAGCAGGCATGGACACTCTGCCTGCCGCCCCATCACTGGCTGCCATGAGCTGAGCGGGACACTCTGGCTGGTGTCCCACCCAGCTCCTGAAAAGAAGTGACTTTAGAGATCTGGGCAGGGAGATGATCCAAGCCCCCACCTGTAGTGTGCACTAACAGCACAACCCCCCCTCCAATGGCTGCAAAAAGGATGAGAAGACTCATTAAAAAAGTGAGTTATGTGACCGGCCTGAACAAATCTAACAAAGTTAAGTATATAAAAATGAAGGGGGGTGTAATTGGGGAGTGGGGGGCTGAGCCTGGTGATGGGCAACTAATGAAAGTACCTGTCATAATATTAGCCCCTGGCCAATCAAGCTCTGCTACATGCAGATGTGTTAACAGAGGGAAAGAAGAGAGAGGCAACCCATCAGTCCACAGTCTTGTAACTGGCTGTGCATAGGGGCACAACATGGAAGTGCTACTTAATTGCAATGGTGAAATGAGGTCATCAACTTGGCTGTTCTCTCTGCAGAATGTAAATCCTATGTCTAGCCTGACAAAATTACAAATTCATTGTCAGGTAAAATACTTATCGTATATGTATGTCAAGCTTAAAAAACAAAGTCCATCTTTTAGAGAAAAATCAATGTGCACCTATTATTTTTTTGCATTGGAGCTGGGATCAGTGGATCATGGGTGCAATGCATTTTTTTCATTCACAGATCCTGTCAAAGGATCTGTGAATGGATGTGCAACTGTGTGGGCAGAGCCCCGCACAGCCGTGCCAAATAAAAAAACCAACAGCAGCCTATGGGGAGAAGAATTCCGTGATTCAGGTAAAATGGGGACTGGCAAGGGGGTGGAGGGGGGTTGTGATCTGACCATGTTTCATGTTACATCCTGAATATGAGTGTAACATGAAACACGGTCAGAAAAGTAAACTTAGCTTTTAAGTGTCAGGGATGGGTTTGTGTAGTAATTGATCCACCACACTCCAGACCGGATGGGTTTATATTCCCAGTAGTACATGCTGTCTTATTTTATATACCATTTTCTCATATTTACAGACACTGTTGATATGCATTGTTTTATATCTTTCATGACATCTGTCATTGATATTCTGTCATTGATATAAGGGCCCATTCATGACAGCTGCACTACAACGTACGACTGCTGGTGTGACTTGCGTGGCACAGTGCTGATGTGCCGATCCCCTGTTTACGGTTTTTTCTTGTTAGAACGTTATTGAAATATCACAAGTGATTTCAGTAAGTTCTAGGGGGACAGCATGGTGCAAGGAGGTTGTACATCGACGCACCCTACTGTGCTGAAAAAAGTACCGCAATGCAGTGGTGTGAACAAAAAACAAGCCAACGTGCCTTGGCTTGGTTTGGGGCTGCGTGGCCTTTTTTTCCCAACACATCTGGTGTGAATGTAGCCTTAATGAGACACATTACCTTCACTGGGCTCAAAATCAATGTACTTGGATTCCTTCCAGAACTGGTGTCCAGGTTTGCCTGTGTGCTTCACAGCTTGTGCACTAAAACACAGCTTCAGGGTCTTGGCAACAGAACGTAAGTTAGCAGCTTGTAAGGCTAAGTTTATTGTTTGTCCCAGCTGTGGAGACTCCACCAGTTTAAACTTTAGAATCAGTTTAACATCTTGCAATGGGGGATTCCGATGTTCATTGAGGGATCCATTCTGAGATGCGTTTCCTTCCCCAGGTTGAACGCCATTAACAGCAAAGTCATTGGTATTGCTAGAGTATGCACCACCATTAGAGTGCATCATAGTGTCTCTCTGTTTTAGTCTTCTTAGTGCTTTTAGGTTCACTTTTCTTTCTTCAATGGTTCCTTGGCAAAAAAGAAACAATTCTTTATGTAATAAAACAAATAAAAGACAATGGAACTTGCAGCTTGTTGACTTTTGCATAGCATGAGTCGCCTGTTTGAGAAACATTTGTTCAAACATCTGTTTGAGAAAAGAAACATTTTATAAAAACGTGGAAATGTTGCGGGCTGCTCAAGTGCAGCCTTTTAGTGATTTTTAGGAAAGATTTCTCTTCTTTTGGGAGAGTCTTTAGGGCTGTGTTCAAGATACCTACCTACCAGCCCGCCTTTTTAATTAGTACTATAGGCACAGCGTTTAATCATTGTGCAACCATAATTGAGTTCCTTGTTTTATATTTACCGTAATATTTTGCTGTAGCACAATGGATTACCTGGGTGTGGTCTGAAACCTAGGTCAGGTAACCCTTGAAAAGCACCACTTTTTTTTTATAGTCCTAGTTTGTCCAGCTCTGATCTAAAAGGGATGGAGCTTATTGCCAGGAACAGGGGCTGTCACTGAGGATGAATTATGGCATTTAGTTTTAAGTGTATTGGTTTAAAGCTAAACTCTGGGACAATATAAAAGACAAAGATTAATGCTGCATTATAATAAATAATAAATAAGTAAATGTATTTTTAATGCAATTGTAAGAACCTCTTGTAGTCCACTGTACAGCAATCCTTAGACTGGGACCAGCAAGAAAGAGCCAATCATTTATGCTGCAGTTAAAGGAGCATGCTGACAAAAGGAGAGAGCAGAGAGACAGAGAGATAAGCTCATCCGTCTTCTGCTTCTCCTTTTTACTGTCCAGTAACCGGCTTGGAGGTGGGACAAGACCTGAATGTGTTCCTGAACCTCAGCAGAGTAAGATCAGGTCTCCAGATCTACCATGCAAAATTCTGCTGTGTGATAGAGCTGTGTAAATCTTGGGGGTAGCTGGACAGAAGTACTCATTTGGCAGGTAATAGCTCCTATATGTATTATATGTGCATATTTAACTGTTCTCTAAAGATCAGCTTTAAAATAATTTGTGAGTTTATGCAATTCATTATTAACTTGATGATGTGTGATAGTGTAAACTAAATATGCATATCTGATGTACATGTACAAAGATCTTGGATTTACCTTCATCATATTTATAGTTGTCAGTGATGTCTTCTCGTTCATCTGTTCCAACACACTTTGTGCTGATATGATTTCCAACATAATGGGGATCAGAAAAATGCTTTTCTTTCTTTGTCCCATATAATATCCATGACACACAATCTGCATTCACCATGGAAAAGACGAATGGGCAATCATAGTTCAGGTGGACATCCCCTTCTCTTATGGCTTTTACAGAGGCAGGGCCACAGCAGTAAATACCTGGTGGAATGGAATAGATTTATATTGAGAGACATACTTAGAATGTCGGTGGTAACAAGCAATTGCATTATCCATTCTTCATACCATCACTTGTCTCCTGTGGAGTTGGATCTAGAACTTGCCATCCTCCATAGCCTAGGGGCAAGTCTCTTCTTGCCATCCAGCACTCACACCAGACATGGAAGTTCCTAGGTTAAAGAAACAATTATATGACTCCATAACTCAAAAGGATTTAGCTGTTCAAAACTCATAAATGGAAGATTGAACTGCTTGATCCATTTAAAGCCTAACTGAAGTTGAAAAGCCTAACGGTTTTTATTGTTATGCAGTCCCACTTCTTGGGCAGTATTGTTGATTGGAGCACTGTGCAGGGGGCATCCCTGACCACTAGAGATCCAGACAACTATGATCAGTGTGAGAGCATCAACCCAGATCTCCATTGTGGTACCTCTGCCACCCAGATCTCCAAGTGTGTATGTTGAAAAAAGGAGGGGACGAGCTTGGTAGACCTGGTCTTTTTCTTTTCTTTTATCTTCTATGTTTCTTTGTTCACCAAGATGCTCCCTTTCTTCCTTGCCTGACTTTATTAGAATAAGCAATATCAATGTAGCCCCTTCTACCCTAAGTGGAGTGGCTATTTAACTTTAGTGTTGCTAGCACTGTAGTCAGTCTGGCTGATATGTAGTCTGGTATCAATTGGTTAATTCTAGGTGTTCTGCTATTGATTGCACCTACCTGTGAGTGGGGTGTGACCCTGTCACAGAGTGGGGCAGCCAATGGGGGGAACATTAGGAGTGTCTATGCCTCACCAGAATGTACACGGTTGGAGACTAGGCCTCAAGCCTGGAGGAGGCCACCGGGAAGGAGAACCAGAGGAGCCGTTTGACTGCTGGATGTGCCAGGAAGGCATGGACCACAGGAACAAGTCTCTTGTCTCTCCCAGGGAAGATCTGGAGCATACCCTTTATTTATCTGTTTCTCTACTACACATTGTCATCCTCAGCTCGACCTCAGTACTCCTGCACTGTGGAAGCTGGAAGGGATTGGTGATTCTGGACTTTATTTTTGCTATGTATGTCTGAAGCCCTATACCCTCTCTCCCAGTTTGTCTGTTCTTTTAATAAAGCATCTAAAAAGTCCTTAAAGTGACTGGTGCCCAATTTACTGTTCACATCCCACAAACTGGGGTCACCCACTCCAAACATTTAGATTCCTGAATTACTGATGGTTTACTTCTTTATGATAGGTGTCTTACCAGATGCTGTCACGGCTTTCCTGGGGGAGCTTCTTGCCAGTTGAATCATAATATTCATCAATTACAAGATTGCTATTGGTATCGTGAGCAGAGTCGAAGTTTGTTACAACTCGGGTTGGAATTCCTAAACATCTCATTACTGAATAAAAAAGGAGACAAACTGTTACTGCAAAAATACGTCTAGTGTCAATAAATGTCAGCAGGTGTTTGTCTATACTCATCTTGGTTGACAACCTTTTAATGACTTATATAGTGCTAGAAATCATATATATTTAGTGTAATAGGAGATTATTCTTGAAAACAAATTACCAGATAGCTGAGGTTGTCCATGGATTGAAAGAAAAAGAACCTAGTTCCTTACACTGGGGCAATATTCCTCCCACTGCCTCCAAAGATGGGACAACTGGCTGATGCTGGGGCATTTTCTAACTTGGTCACAGTTTGCTCTCCCTGATGTCTGAAGGACAGTGAACTGGCCCTTAGTTTAGAAGGTTTTAAGACCCTTTGGTTAGAACCTTCATCAGGTTTTTATTGCTGTCTGTCTGCATGTTGGAGAGATTTCCAATCCCTTCCTGTTCCTTGAACTACTGTCTCTATGATTGTACCAGGGGCGTAACTAGAAATCACAGGGCCCCATAGCAAAATTTTGTAAGGGCCCCCCCCCCTGCAACCTGACACCACATCTCACCCCCCCAAAAAAATACTAGGAATTACATACACAAATTCTCCTTCTCTCCTGCCATTCCAGATTGTTTGCGGGCAGGGAGTGAATTCCAGATATACTCCCTGCCCGCAAACAATAATGCATGCACAATTTTTTGTGATTGCACCACACTTGAACGCAGGGCATTGTGTTAACATGCGTTCTGGTGCAGCTGATGACATGAATTGTGCATGCACTATTTTTTGTGGGCAGGGAGTGTATCTGGAATTCAAATTACATGAATGGCACTGCCACGCCCCCTCCCACCCTAGAACGCAAGGAGACTTTGTGTATGCAATTCCTTGCATTCCTGGCAAGGGTGTAAACGAGCCTTTGAGATTACAGTCAGAGGAGCCACAGTGTATATAGAAGACAATTACAGCAATGCATGTCTAGGTTTAAAAGTGTTTTAGGGCTTATTCACACAAATGACAGTGCGTTCCAGAGCGGTAGCTACTGGAACACACTATAATGCACACTTAACCCCCCCTGTGTTCTGGGGCGGGAGGGGGCGTGGTGGTGCATTGAAGACAATAGCACCGCAGCCACGCCCCCCC